GTTGTTCTATAAATTTAAGAATCATCGGGAACTGCAGACTGGTGTTCCTATGCTCCTTTGTTCTCGAACCTGAATGAGAACGGCAGACGAGACGCCGGATAAGTCTGGTTCTCCGTTACGTATGGGCGATCCCTCCACCTTTCATTCTCCAGGCAAGCATATTACCATCCACACATTTGAACTGTATGCCCGTACTGGCATTTCTACAGCATTCGTGAAATCGCTCCGTTTTGAACACAATACAGGAGCAGTTGCATCAACGCCGGTCCACATGGCTGACTTGGAAACCTGCCACAGAAGTACAGTTGTAGAGTCAGTCTCCTGCAACGTTACAGGACTGGCAAGCTTCTATTCCCCTCATGGAACGGCAGAAACCAACACCCCCAGGGATCAACAATATGAAAGAAATGCGGAACAGACCCAAGAGCGCAGCCAGGAGTTTCTCCAGTACCCTCCCGAACAGTCTAGGGAGGTGCTTCATGACGGTTTCGTTGACAGCCACCAACCTTACAGTGAGCCTATAATGGAAAGCACGTGCGTGGCCTCGAAGGGGGAAATAGCTCAAGGTGCTGCCACTTTAAGCAGCGCGGTTGCTGATGTACGACAACACGGAGGAGAAGGGTCAACTTGTTGGCATCGGGGCAAGATTGTCAGTGGAGCCAGCAGCGAGGTCTTGAGAAACTCCTCTGTTCCTCCAGAATATCGCCGGAGAGCGAGCCTGAACGACACTACGCCGATCCTTGGGAATAGGGCATACGAAAGGGTATCCCCCAGTCGGTTATTTTCCATGCACCACCCTCCTCGAGACGTGCAGGTCCGTTCTGAATCAGCAGGCCAGCACAGTAGAGTGGTTCAACAGCAGATGCTACCGCAGGAAGAGGTATCTCCGTCGAAGCCGCCAGTTCACAGTTCGCTAAATGTTTCTCGGTGCCTTCACAGTCACAGGGAATGGGCATCTGAAGGTCAGTGCTGGCCCCATCAAGGTCAAGCAACTGCGCCAGTTGCCAGGTTGTCGGCGGAGACAAACCCGGCGGAACTGACGGCAGTTCATGGTGTCAGGATTCGCCCAAGTAGCCCTTGCAGAGCCAACGAAAATTCAGCAGCGGCCAAAGACATGGTAATAAGTGCCCTTTGTGATCAAATTAAGCATCAGCAATGGAAGCTCAGGGTTCAGGAAAATCGTTTGCACAACCAGGAACAACGGCTCCATGAGCTAGAGGCCTTTATGAGCTCTTTCCAAGCTCAGCAAGAATGGAAACAACGCCACCAACAACACCATATGTGCCACTTGCTCTCGAGATCACGAGGATGTCACCCTTTTCCGAGTGTAGACGTCCTCAACGATCTAGCGTCGAGTTCATCCGGCGTTCCACGGGTCACTGCCACCAACGCACAATTCATTGGTATCGAGTAGACGTCCTGTCGCTGTAGTTCCGTATCAGTAGCTATCAGAGACTCCATGCACATAGAGATTTGCCTCCCTGACATCGCTTGCTGTTGTCGTATGTCTGTTTCCATTTAGGCTCCCAGTGGTCAGCAGGCATCGTGGAGCCGACCCCAACCCAAGCGGAAAGACAAGGGGTATGCAGTGCCCCCGCAGATCAGCAGTGGCTACGTAGTAATCTTGTAAGCAGGCGTTTGTCCCTCTCGCCCAGAATGTGTAGTTTTCCATCTATTTTATCGTGACGCTACGTTATGTTGAACCATCCTGTGGTGAAAACGAGTTCCTCTCCAGCACTGTCATGAATCGTTGCAACATCTGATACTGCAGTTGCTTAGCAATGAATGGCAGCAGCCAGTGCTCCGCTAGCCTGCGCCCAACTTTATAACTTCGTTGAAAGCGACAGCATCTCCACAGAAAGATTAACTCGACTTTGCTGCGGATGCTGTGACGTGCTGGTAGGATCAAGCCCGGGGAGATGTAGGCTCAGACGACTGCCGTGAAGGAAGCCGCAAGAGGTCTCCATTTTGCTGTTTCTAAAGCTATTGAGGACTACTGGATGGATTGCAGCGGACGCTGCCTCCTTCAGCGGAATTGTTGTTGAGCTGGTCCCGGTGGTGGTCTCGAATGAAGAGGTATCCAATCACCAACCCTATCAAGGCGGAGATGGCATTGCCAGAGAACCGCCGTGTGAAGATGTGATCCATTTTAACCCCTTCACGCTTGCACGCCCTCTTCACTTAGTTCAATCCTTGCAACGCTACACAGTTGCGAGCAATTAGAAAGAATCTAATTTGCGCGTGCTGTGAGCGAAGGAGCTGTTGGTCAATTTTGACCTTCCTCTGGAGAATTTCCCCTTATGGATGCAACGCAAACGAATCTCGAAAACTATGCCTGTCTAAAACGTGCGCTAGACCTGAGTGGGAGAAAGCAAGGA